AACGAATGTGCTGTGACACAGCTAGTTCACTTCCGACAAAAACCCGGGATTGTACAGAAAATCTTCATCATCAGGGGCGCGGATAAACCACTTGCCATGGGCGCCATCACCCCTGGGTACCCCACTGGTTTGTAAAGGCCTTTATCCGATCTTGTAGTTTGGTTGTTTGGCCAAGGTCGATGCACCCTCCAAATAATAACGAAAAAAAAAATAGGCGCGTTGGGAAAATTTCGTGTCGTCGTGCTTTGGTCCCAAGAGATATCGCCGTCGCAATAGTGAAATCGTTTGCAGCGCAAACCCGAGCAATCGTGCATGGTCTCGAGCACGGTGGTCTCGAGACTGCAGTGATAAGCTCTCGCTACTGGTCTTTACCTTTTGTACGCGCGTGCGTGCTACGAAAACATGTTTGGCTCGCGGTGGCAGGAACGCGAAGCGTACCCGCAACAAGCACGGTCGATGGGGCGACGGCAGAACGGCAGCAGCGCAGGTTTCCCCCCCTCGGGCGGGAAGGTTCGTCTGGGAACCTTCGCGGCGGCGTCAGCGTCGTCTCGCAACACTCGCGGGCGGCCACGTTCCGGGCGATCGCATGTGCGATATTTTTAAAGGTTTCTCCCGCGCCGGAGATTCTGGGTCGCCGGCGGGGAAGACGGCGTCGATGGTGCCGGCTACTTTTCTTTTTTTTTTTCAGTAACATTTTTTTTTTCTTTTTTTAGTTTGCGAAGCGCGCGAGGTTTTACTTTTTTTCTCCCTCTGCGCTGTCCTTCGCTCTGCTCGGTCGCTTGGTTTGAGGAGCCGGCGGCGGGAGACGTGACGTGGGGAGGACCGGCATTGAAAAACCTCTTCGGCGCCGGCCGGCTTGCCTGCCTGCTTGCTTTCCGGCCGGCCGATGGGGAACGGGAAAGTGTCAGACCAGACAGATCAAAGGGCGAATAAGAAAACTATAGGTTAAACAAAATAAAAAAAACTTTGTTTTTTTTGCGGAAGGTCTCTCATTTCTCCCTTTATGCGGTGAACTGGGATACTTCTGAACGCATTTTAGACCAGTTTCTCGTTATTGATTCAAATTGTCGCGTTTCGAACGCGTGGTGAACGTGTTTCTCATTTCTTACTCAACACTAAATTTTCTAAAAATTACTTTTAAAAATTACTGTAAAAATTAGTGCGCGAAACGTTCGCTATCAATCGAGGTGGTTATGAGAAAGTACACGTTGCTCATTTATTAACTTATTGTAATGTGACAAATGTACGCTATGCAGTGCGAAACAAAGGAATCGATTTCTGTTTGAACAGACCGCAAAAACTGTTTTGTGAACTTGAGCTAAGATTTTGTACTGAGGTGACCGAAGAAAAGGTGCATTAATTTAGAGGGGTACTCCGGCGTTTTCGTCGTAGTACCCGATTGGCCTCAAAATTTGCTGAATACAGCAACGAACATCACTGAAATAATTACCAGGATATTGGGCCAAGATTTTTTTTTTTTTTCGCGAAGCTATTGAATTTACAATTTTGGCCCTCACCGTGTTTTTTAAAGTCTGTACTGGCAACAATGAAAAAGTTACGTCAACGGAAGGCGGGGGTTTACTCTTAGTACTGTAGACTTTATTCCCAACTGATTACGAGCAGTTTCATGGTGGCAAATGAATGTTTTGGAAGCTCGATCCAGGCACCCGCGCAGCATTCACGAAATCAATGCTCCGCATAGTAAATTTTTAGAGCACCTTCTCGACCTGCAAGCCTGCGTTCCACTCACGTCACGGCACTGAAAAAGCGCGGGTATATTTGAATGTTGGTTGTGGATTCTGACTTTCGCGATACTAAATAGCATACCGGAAAGGGAAAGGCCGGTGATACCGAAAATGTTGTTAGTTGGAGTAGCTCAAAACAAATTTCGCTGTTACCAACTTGCCCGAGTACAAGGTTGCCAATCAAAAAGTTGAACTCTGTACCTACGGCGTCCGTCTATTACGAAAGGCCTGTACACTCAGTTTTCCCGCTCCATTGAGTGGGGCAACTGGCTGTATCGATCACGTGACGTAAATTTTTCTGCTAGGTTTAGTGGGGAAATTTAATTGAGGCAATGTCACGTGTCGTCGGGTTAGGTGACGTCAGTTTCCCCGCTGTATTCAGCGGGAAAACTGAATTGGTGTATAGGTCTCCTGACGTCAGGTCAGCTGGCCTGTACGCCATTTCAGTTCTCCCGCTAAATTTAGCGGGAAATGGACGGACGGACGGGCGGACACAATTCTGGGATTGGGGTTCCCTTAGAAAGCATGCTATGCGTTAAAATAAATTTTAAAAAAAATGACAAAGAAAGCAAAAATATCGTGTATCGTAGATTCCCGTACGTTTTCCCTCGAATTGTATCTTCAACTAAATTGGTTGGCAAAAATGGATGGAGGCAAATTTTTACTCGTACCTAAATTTTCTCCACCTTGGGGACTTGGCCTAAAGTCATTATATCTCAGTCAGAAACGATTTATAGTTCACTGCAGATTCAGAACCCTGTGTCAGTGACATCTTTCAGAGCGAATGGCCGAGTGTGCGCGCACACCAGAGGTGTTACTCAGGGTCGCCCGTGTGGCGGGAGACTTTCAGCCCGTGTACCGTTCGGATCGACTTCCTATCAGGTCCATGTCCTAGTCTACGTTAACACTATAGGATTATAACCCCCCCCCCCCCTCCCTCCCTCCCCCGGCCTTTTTCCTCACCGAAAAAAAAAAAAAAATATTACACACGCTTGATCTGGGTGAAAAAGAGGGGGAACGGAGAATTATTGAGCGCGAGCTACTACCTCGCAGGCGTGGCATGACCTGGTCACGTCACGTTAATTTACCGGGAAAATTTCAGAGAGAAATTGACGCCACATGAGCACGTCGCGTTACCTCAAATCACCTGACGCCAGTTTCCGCCGCATTTGGCGGGGAAATTCACGCGACAGTCCTTTGTGACTGTTTTCTCGTGGCATGGCCCGATAAAACACATTTCGCGTTAAAAGGAAGAAAAGATGTTTGATTGGCGGGTTTCGTTTTGTTGACTTGTACTCCTGCACCAGCTGCACTCCAGTGTTGGCTGTAACGCGTTACTTTTTTCGGTAACGTGGTAGCGTGCTCGTTGCGTTTTCAAAACTCTAATGGGTAACGTACTTACGTTACTTATTTCGAGTAACGGGTAACGTTGCTACATTACTCGTTATTCTTCCCAAATTAAAAAAAAAAAATACTATACTTCATTTTTTTTTTTGTGTGTGTTCTTAGGCGCCAAGTTACGTGAATTTTCGAGTTTTTTCGGGTTTTTCTTTGCGTTTCTTCTCGTGAGTATTTAGCTCAAACCGCAAATAAAATATAAGTGTTCAGTTTGTGCATGAACATGTTTCTTGAAATCTGGCACTTATGCATACCTGTACCGTCGAAACAGTAAATCGTGTTAATTCATAATTTAAAAAAAAAAAGTAACAGGTTCCTTTTATTTACGAGTAACGTATTTCGTTAGTTGTTTTTTTTTTTTTTTTTGTGGTATTGTCTACAACACTGGCACTCTGTGCACACCGCCTTGTTCGATTTCCGAGTGCAGCCAATCTCAAAACACAACCTGAAGGACATTGCCCCGCGGCTTTTCTGCACGGCGCTACACTGTTCTGTACCGGTGCAGGCTGTTGCGAGTAAATCGAATGAGCTTGCTTTTGTTTTAGCTTCGAAACGAGAATGCCAGATGCCGTAATTAAGCTGGCAATTTACGCTGCTTGAGTAATAGGCATTTGGCAAGCCCACGATGCCGTCAGGGGATTTTCCTCGAAATCAGGCTCTTGCTCTCTCTCGACATCGGCGAGCGCGTTTTCGTGCGAGCGTGGCGCGCGTGCGAGTGTGTTGGTCGCACACCAGTCACCTATAGCTGTGTTTGGAGATTTGTGTTTGTCCCTTGTCCCCTTCGTTCCCCTTCTCCGGGGATTATTCTTGCCAGTCTTGCCCAGCTCGCTTGCACCTTTGCATTTAATTGCATATTAATCATAACCTCACTTAGAACGCGAAGTTCGACAAAACTTTTGACTGGAGTTTGAGTTTTGTGCGCACGGGTATCCTGTTTCATTGTTTCACCTGCTAAGTTAGTAGCATAACGTATATTCGATTTTATATCGTGGAAACATTGGTAGTCAATAAAGATGTAATATATAAAATAAAATACTTTATAAATTAATCGTTTCCGGAAATTTGAAACTTTTGTGTAGAAGTCGGGTAACAATGTCCATAAGACGGAACATCGTCGAACTTGGCTAAAGGTCGAAAGTTCGCAGTCCAACGTCAGGTTGAACAAACGTTGGCGACGCCGGCATGCTTTCGCACGCGCGGAGTCAGCCTAGGCGCGACATTTCGAACTTGCCGCGGAAGCGACCTCGGCAATGCCGTCGTCTTGCACGGTCGCCCTCTTATGTCGCGGACTCGTTTTTCTCGCTCCTTTGGCCCGACACGAGGAGTCGAAGAGAGGGAGTGTTCATTGTGCTGTGTGTGGCGTACTCGTACGTGACATGCCCGGCCGACTCGCGTCGAGGATGGGGGAGGGCGGTTACCAGCAGCTGGCTTTGTCGACCAGGGAAAGGTCGCGGAAAGCGACACTGCGCTGTTCAGATGTTTACGTCGGTCGGAATTTGACGTTGGCACTGTGTTAGAATGTTTCAGTCGCTACCGGCACTCGAGGTCGCTCGTTACGCGTGCCAATTTTGTCGACACTAACGCGTAACGCGCAGCGGGAGGCACTCACTTGATCGAATGACGTTTTAGCGAACGCCCACGTTTCAACGAATGACACGGGGTTCACATTTTAGTAATAAGCCGCCACAGACTGTCGCCGCGAAGCGGCGGAAGCGCAGCGCGGCGGATGGGTTAACGCGCGCCCCCGTTATTCGCTAAAACGTAAATTCGCTCAAATGTCGCTGTTCGCTAAAACGTCATTCGCTCATGTGATATGGACCCCTCGTCGCTCACGGACCCGCGTCCTTCCTTTGGCAGGTTCGGCGACGTCCACGGGTTCGGCGGCGGCGGCCGGCGAGGCCGGAGTCCGCGGCCACGCCGACGAGCCCTGGTGCACCATCGCCTACTGGGAGCTGAACGAGCGCGTTGGCCCGCTGTTCCCTGTCCGGCAGCCCTGGCTCCACGTGACCTTTGAGGAGAGCGCGGCCCCCCCGAGGGGAGGCGTCGCCGACGCCCTGAGCCTGCTCTCCCTGGCGCGCTCCAAGACGACGCCGTGCAAGGAGGCCGTGGCACGGACTCGCGCCAAGATCGGCATGGGCGTGACGCTGCTCCACGAGCGCGACGGCGTCTGGGTGTACAACCGGTCCGAGCACGCCGTGTTCGTCACCTCGCCGACGCTGGACGGACCCCAGGTCCGGAACCTGACAGTATTCAAGGTGCCGCCGGGCTACTCGCTGCGCGTCTTCGACTGGGAGCGGGCCCGGCGCTACTGCCGCTGCCCGCGGGTCGCCTCGCTGGACGGGCCCTTCGACCCGAACGCCGTGCGCATCTCCTTCGTGAAGGGTTGGGGGCCCCGGTACAGCCGGCAGGCCGTCACGGCCCTGCCCTGCTCGCTGGAGCTGCTGCTCCGGCCGCCGGCCAGGTGACGCGCCCGCCGGGGCCACCACAGACCGCACCACCAGGCGAGCAGCGCCCCCGGCTGGCGGTTGGAACCGCCGCGCTGACTCCCTTCTCGCTGTTGTTCGCTGTGTCGCGACCGGGTCGTCCCTTCCTGGGAAGTCTGGACGACGAGAGACCCGCGCCGCCGTTTCTTTCCCGAAAAGCTCCGTTCGCTTTTCTTCGAACGCCGGTTTTTCGTCCCGGAACGATTTCTCTGGCTGTTCTTTGTTGCCTTTTTACTAGGGAAAGAAATATACAGGCGGTGGCGATGAAAGGAGCGTGAAGCGCTCCCATAAATAGCCTGCTCGTTTCTTTTTCTTTTTTTTTTTTTTTTTTTTTTTTTTAAAGGTTGTGTTTTTCGAGGGTCACGTTGTTGCGAGAAAATATGACGAGATTTAAACGCTCTGGCCATGAGTTCTGCGCGAGTCAATGCGCGTTGAGTTTGCGCTAATTCTAGACTTACATCAGCGAGGAGCTTGTTCTTGCACAGACCTGGAGGGGCGCATCCACATCGAGGAAGAGACGGTAATAAGTTCGAGAATTCAAGATTGTTTAAACAGGGGGTTATACTTTACATTGCCCCCCCCCCCCCCTTTTTTTTTTTTTTTTTAGTTGGGAGTTTAATATTTGTTTCGTATGTCATTCTCATTACGATGTGACCCTCGAAAGAATATAACAAATGCACCTTAAGCTTCCGGTTAGCGTTTTTTTTTTTTTTTTTTTTTCCCTTAAAAGTGTATGTGAAGTGAAAGGGGATTGGCATCATCTCGCCCGAGTTTTGAACAAAAAATAAAAAAAGCTCCGCGACTTTTGGTGATAAGTTGTATATTGTATATGTATGTATATTTAAAATAAAATGTTAGGATTACGAAAAAAAAAAGAATGTTGGTGTCACCTACCGCTGAAGCGTGACCGAAGGCTTCCCGCCACACTCTCCACTACTGCTTCCACTCTTGTTTTCGTACACGAGTCAGTTATTTATTATACGATACCAGTTGTGAAGTACTGCCTCCTTCTTCCACTTTGCCCCCCCCCCCCCCCCCCCATCCTCCCTCCCTCCCTCTTCTGTTTCTCCTCTACACCTTTCTTTTTTTTACGGGTTCTTTTTTTTTTTTTCGTCGAAAAGTACAAAATGTTTGTTATGTCGGTGTTGCTGTAGTCTGCTTTTACAACGCATTCGTTGGCTTAGGTGAGTGCGTGCTATGCTTCGTCGACATCTTATTTTGACATTGTTCGAAGGAATGGAGACTTGTCGAAATTGTTTCCTTTTTCTTTTTTTGCCTTTTTTGTTTGTTTGACTTGGTGTAATGAGGAAAGTTTGTTTAGAAAAGGTTACTTAACTGAACGACTCCGATCGTTTGTCAACTTTTGTGCCCCAACTGAATCTTCTGCCGTCTGTGTTGTACTGCAAGGAACAAAGTTAAGTGGTGTAATAACGCTGTAGTGTCAAAGTTTTAAAGTATATCTGACATGCTAGATTTGTGTAATCGATGCAGCGTCAGTTGCATTGATTTTTATTTCATTACTTTCCGTTGTTAAGAGCGAGGAATTAACTTTAAAAGGAATCGTAATGTACAGCACCGCCTTTCCTGGCTAAGCCTGTCTAGGTTCCGTCACTGCAGCGTAACATTGCATGCTTTCTTTATGTTGTTCGCGTCACTTATTTTCTTTGCTTCGCTTTGTGGGAGTTTTTTTGTCAGAAATCTCAACTAGTGCCGTAAAATATCCAGCGAGCGCCGACTCAAAATTGTGGTAGTATTGTGACCAACCTGCATACTCTCAATCTCTGCCCCATTCTGCAATTTACGGAACTCGGAATGTGAGCTCTTGCTCTGGCGTAGGCGCGAGCTCGGTGTTCTATGGTAAACACGCAAAAAAAAAAAAAAAAAAGAGAGCTTTTTTTTTTTTGGTAGTTTAGTTAAACAGTGCTCCTATTAAATGATGAAAAGTAAGTGCGTGATCAACTCTCAGGGGGTTTTGAGTTTCAATCACTCATTTGGTTCGATGAAACCACACTCGCTTGTTATCATGAGGTGTGACTCTTCCCTTTCCTTCCTTTTGGTTTTTCCTGTCCTCTCTGGCTGTAAGAAGAAGCCGTACATCACTTCAATTTTTTTTTTTTTTTTTTTTTTTTTTTTTTATGCCCAGTCGTACATCGTGCCCTTGACAGGCCACGAAACACCCAAACACACTTTCCGTTTTTAAAAATGTAAACCACATTTTTTTTTTCTTTTTTGCACTTTGTTTATACTCAGATCATTGGCATTTCGGTACAGTTTCGAGGTTGTTCGACAACACTCTAAGGCATGATCATCTTAGCTCACTGATGGGCTGACGAGCCTGAACATTATTGGTAGAATCAGTGGGGAATTGTGTCACCCTTCACTCCGTTCTTGTCTGTTTATATATTTATATAAATACGTACGTGCATAAATGTATGTATCTGTTTATATATACACATCTTAGCTGGCGCGGTTGTGAAGAGTGACAGGTGGCTGCAATGCGAAGCTTGGACGAGTTGTGGCTTAACTTTCCTCTATTTTTTTTTATTACTTTTTTCAAATTATTGTTTTGTTGTTTTTTTAGGCACAGCGTTTGATGTACTGTGATGGTGCAGTTCAAGTCTAAAGTAAACCTTAAGTGTTAACCCGACTTTCCAATCTTTTTTCTTGCTCAGTTTTTTTTTTTTTTTTTCTCTCTTTCCTCTCTGTTTTTTGAAACAAACGCCTTTCAGAGAGGTTCAAATTTGTTCTAAGCAAATGTGCATTAATTTTTTTTCCTCGGAGGTTTTACTGATTTTGTTGCGTGTCATTTCTTTCCGCGGGAGCATACAAAATTTAAGAGAAAGAAAGCTTTAAGGCGCCACACTTTTTTTTTGTGTGTGGTTTTTGTTTTTCTTATTGTATGTGTGGAAAGCGCTAGACAGCGCCAGTCCCTCCCACGATAATACTTGCGGTTAATTCTATTGAACCGTTGGCAGCGCTGGTCTCGTGGAAGCATAACGTAGGGAAGGCGTCTCGGCCGTTTTAGCTCGGGCAGTACTTAACTACGACCCCGTGGTGCACGCGTTTTGAGCACACATGTCGAGGTGTCCGCTCCTTATTTTCCCGTCGTTTCTCGAATCGTGTGCGCGTTCCCTCCATCTTCAAGTTGGGACTCTCGTGGGACAGATAGTAATTTTTATTATAAGTTGGGACTCTCGTGGGACAAATAATAATTATTATTATAAGTTGGGACTCTCGTGGGACACTAGTGACGACACCAGCGGGTACGAATCCGCAAGGACACTTTTTCTTTTTTTTTTTGTTCTCTCTTCACTGGAGGCATGTGCCGTTTGACGGTCGTGAGAAGGGTTGACTAGGGGGCAATGTGCCTTTTTCTCCCCGTAGCCACCTCCGAGCACGTCGAGTGCTCTGGTGCGTGAAGCTTCACTGAACCTCTCCTCGCTCCCAGCAACCCCATCCCTTTGTCCGCTTTGTCAAGGCTTTCAATTCTGTCGACCAGTATCCGCACAGCACTTTACCGAGCCTCTCAGGTCCTTTTTCCTAGAATGGAGTGAAGAATGTGTTTGGAATCCTACTGTTCCTCGCGGTGGCAGATGTTCCCATGTTCACCTCACCAATGTCCCTTTTCCTTTAATATATATATAAATATAAATAAATATTCTCGTTCATTCGTGGCATCTGTGTTCGTTCAGTCAGAAGGTCGCCGTATGTTGCTAGTATACTTTTCATTATCATCGTTTTTTTTTGTTTTCCGTTTTTTACTAGTAAAGTGAGATTGGGACGGCACTTTGCCGCCTCCCTTTACTGCTTCTTCGGGCACGTTCTGAGACGGCGAGTCTCGCTGTGAAGCCCCCCCTCCCCCCGGTTGCTTTGGTGTTGTCGCAGGAACCTGCGCAAAGGGTGTGTGCCAAAACCTTGTCATTACGTACAGTGGCAGGACACTAAGCGAAAAAAATACGCGCAAACTTAAAAAAGCAAAAAAAAAAAAAAAAAAAAAGCGTTGTTGGAGTGTGTGTGTGCCCCCGCTGCGTGCTTTGTCTGGCACAGCGCGCGTGTGTGCCTGTGTGTTGTGCCCCCGACGGTAACTCCGCGAAACAAATTCCATCCACATTTTTGTACCACTTTCTCTCCGCTGTTAGCAGCTAGGTAGTGCAAAATAAGCTGCGTAAAAGTGCCTCGTTTGAACGTGTCTGTGCGTCTGTTTTGAACGGGATTTCGAGAGTTAGAAGTGATACTAGGTATTGTATTCCTACTTTTTTTTTTTTTTCTCCTCCTTTCTTCCTGATACAAGCTGTGTTTGTGGCTCTAGAAGCTCAAGCGTCCTTTTTGCATTGGTATGGAAGCGACAATCCAGTACCACTCTGCCTGCCTACAATGCCTTACAAGTCTAGTGGTTTCAGAGGTGTGCGTGCGTATCCGAACGATTTTTTTTTTTTTCTTCTGAATGCTTCGTTTGCTCAAGCTATAGGCTGTGTATCATACGTTGTAAGTGCCGAAGCGGATGACTTAACCTTCGTTTGTTGTTTTCTTTATTTTGCTTTCTTTGTACAGACTGTAAAGTGTAAATATGTAACACTTTTTTTTTCTTTGTAGAGCCGTTTTTCTTTTCCCATTGTCTCCTTCAGATTGTGACCCGTTTCGCGTTGACAAGGGCGCGCGCGGCTTTGTACAAATTCTGTCAAAGTGTACAAACTTGGAAATAATGATACTTTCTACTGTAATAAAGAGAGATAATCCTATACTTCTGTCTTGGGTGTTCAATGTCTCTTCTTGCACGAAAGCGGCACGACTGACCGCGGGGAAAACGGAAACGCGTTTGAGGCCATTCGGTAGTCGTTGAAGATCCCAAAGCCGCGCAGAGGCCGGTAACACCATTACGTCTGCATGATTACAGGTAAGTCGTTCGAGTTTAATGTAGTTTTCAAGCAGAAGCTCGGTTCGCGAGAGGGGAAAGAAAAAAGCGTCAGTTGCGGAGTAGCGACCATCAGCGCATTCGGGGCACGCACCAGCGCTAGCTGGACGGCCGTGGGCATTTCTTTTTTTTCCTCCTTTAATCCGCGGTACACACGGGCGCGAGTCGAACCGTCGACTTTTGGTAAACATCACGCACCGGCAGGCGCGACTCGGCGGCGTCGGTCTCGACTCGGCAGGTGTGTGTGTGTGCGTCTCTCGACGGAGTCGTCGTGGCGCAGAAGCTCTTAATACATGTGTTTCCAGGGCCGGAATTATACACGGGGGCGCACGAACAACGGGGAAAAAAGAAAAGGGAAAAAGCCGGCGGCGACTTTTCGGCGCCGAATCTTTTTTTCGTTTGTTTCGGGCGTTTTGTGTCGCGCCTTGCATTCGCGTCCAGGTGCCGTGCAGCCATCGGCGTCCAGCCACGACGACCGGGTCCTGTCTGTTGGCGAGACCGTGGGACCCACCTAATGACGTCGCCGGCCCGTTCACTTGGGCGCATTCGGAAGTGGGAGGCAGGCGGGGAGCAACAGCCGTCGCGGTCGACCACCTGTGGGCGAAGCGGCGCCACCGTCGGCCCGAATGCTGCCTGCGTAGTAGACGGCTGACCGGCGCCTGTCGCCTCCGTGTCTGGCGCCCCCCTCCGCCGATTGAGGACGGCACGGGCCGCCCCTTTGACTGCTCCCCTCCCTTTCGCTCGCCACGACCTCGATTCTTTTTCTCAGCGGCGCCGTGTTTTGTTTCAGGGACGCGCCGCCAGACGCTCTCGTTGCTGCCGGTCATTTCGTCGCCCTGCGGGTCGCGGTTCTCGCCGGTGCTGCCCGGTTCCCAGCGGGAGGCGTCATCGCTTGCGTGCGCCTGTCCCGGCGCGTTTCCGCTCGTGATCCGTTGCAATGACCGTCGCACGCCGTTTCCGGCAGGAGGGTCACATTTGTGTGTCGACCTCCCCAGTACGTGTTTTTCTGCGGGCTTTGTTCGCGGGTGCACGCGGTTCGAGGCCCTCATGGCGACGGCCAGGCGCATATCCGATAATTGTACCTTCCCTCAAACCAGCTATTCTTCTTTTTTTTTTTAGTAGTAGTAGTAGTGGTAGCGGTTAATTCGTACGACGATCGTGACTCGTATGCGTATGTCAATATTTTTTGTCGTATTTATATTTTGTTTTCGGCTTACGGTTTTTGCGAAGAATATGAATACTGGTATTCTGTCGCGATTCTGGTAATCTGTTATCACATTGGGGTTTTTGAGTACTGTGAGTGCCACACAGATTCTGGGGGGAGGGGGGGGGGGGGGGGGGGTTCCTACCTCCGAACCCATTGTTGCGCTGGTTACGGTAGACGCGTTTTAAACATCGATTAGTGTAACGTGGCCTTCGATTCGGCGCTCGTATTCAGCACGGGTCCTCGAACGTGTGTGTGATCGTTGTTCAGTCTCTTTAGGTTGGTTGGTTAGCTCCGTTGAGTGCGCTTTCAATCCGGCACTGCTGCACTGCGGAGAAGCATCACCCACGGAGTGTGCGCTCGCGCTGTCCGAGGGCGAAGTTTACGTGGTTCGGTCTACTTCTACGAAGCGCAGCGTACTTCACGTGCCGCATCGCGTGTCACGCAAGCCTGCTCCTCTCGTCGCGCCTGGCTATCCGGGATCGCCGAACGACCTATTTTGCCGTCGGCGACTCCGCGTTCTTAGAAAAAAAAAAAAGGCGACCGCCCTTTCCCATTTGCCACGAGAGAGTAAACAAAGCTTGGGGCCTTGGGCTACCCCGCGTTGAATAGCCCCTGAGCTAGCGGTTATTGCCCGCTGCGGATTTCCCTCTTCCTGGAAGTTCACAAACCCACTCCCGTTAACGCATAGGAAAAAAAAAAAAAAAGTTCTCAGTTTAATTAAGGAGATTTTGTAAGTTCAGAACCATTCCTGGGTGTGATCCCCCCGATTTGCCGTCCGCCACTGCCCGTTTCGGTCTGCATGAGCAGCGTACTGGCGTGTAGCCGTTGTTGCGACCGAGCGGTTGTCCGCGAGTTCGGTGCGTGGCAGGGGGCCGAAGCAGGGCAGGACCTCATCTGGAAGCCTGAATCCTGAAGGAGCATGAGGGGTGTCTCGTATAAAACCTCTGTCCGACGGGCACCTAAGAGGACCTTTACGCCAAAGGCCTTTACCGTGCCAGACAGCGCAAGTAAATGTCATTTGGGCGATGTTTACTGCGATTGAAGTCTCGTAGCTCGTTCGAACGCACAAATCGCGTTTGCGCCAGAAAAATGTTATTTTGGCGGTATAAATATTTGTAAAGTTTTTCTTAAGCAAACAAAACATGAAAAAAGTCAAAATGACAAGTTCAGTCGAGTGATTACAACAAAGTTCACATTAATCCCAAGCAAAGTTTTTTTTTTTTTTTTTTTTTTTGGTGTGTGTGTGTGGGGGGGGGGGGGGGCAATTAGTGGCAACCCTGGGCGTCTCGCTCACTCAGTCTACACCACTGATCTCTATGTCTATTTGCTGGATCGCGGTTGACCAGCTCCTCCTATGGGCCGGAATGCGGTCACTGGTGGCCATCTTTAGGTAGAGTTATATCATCTCTAGCCATCATAGTAATATGGCGAACAGCGCAATGGCGGCAGGCTGCCATAAAAATAGCCGTAGATCTAGTACACTGTACCGTGGGTGACATTTCGTGCTTGATTAAAGTTGTTCGACGAAGCAGATTCTTGAAACCCGGCGTGAACGGTAGCCTCATCTTTGAGGACCCGGCAAAAGTTCTACGAAAGCGCAGCACCGGGGGAAAACAGCGCAGCTCGCATCAAAAGCAGACTCCTTACCGTCGTCTGCTTTCGATGCTTCTTTCGATGCGACTTTTGATACGCGCTGTGTTGCTTTTCTCCCGGTGCTGCGATTTCGTGAAACTTTTACCAGGTCCTCAAAAACCGGACTACTGTTCACGCCGGGTTTCAAAAACATGTTTCGTCAAAAAATTTTAATCAAGCACGCAATATCACCCACGCTATTTTGACCGCAGCCTGCCAACCCACCTGCCAAAACGCTATCTGCCATGGATGGATGATAGCGGCTGCAGCAGCTTACATTGGCTAGAGGTGATATAACTCTACCTAAAGATGGCCGCCAGTGACCGCATTCGCGGAGCGGGCAAACGCGATCCAGCAATTGTCATAGAGATCAGTGGTCTACACTCAGTCCTATCGGTGTTCCTGCTCCTTTCCGTGCTTCTGCTACGCTTTCCCCTCTTCGGTTCGGTGTCGTGCTCGAGTTTCATCCCACGCGTCGGAGGTCCTCCAGCCGATCCTCCCGAAGCCGTATCAGCGCCCAGGTCGCCTCAACGCTCCAATGGAAGCGCGGCGATCCCGTCGTGGACGCTCCTCCGCCGTTCGACATATCGCGCGACGCGAGACTGAGATACAGAAATATATAGCTGTAACGAGATATTAAATATATACGGTACAGTTAATATTGCGCTATTAAAGGATGATAAAATGTCAAGAAATTAGAGCTAGATAACTATGGTTGTAAGGAAAATCGGTGCCGAAGCGGACGATGCGAGCAGGCGAGCAGCGGAACGACGAGGCCTTTTAGATAGCTGGGGTCTCCAACAGAAAATTATTAGCAGATCGAGGTCTCTACAGAATATACGTGAAACGCGCTCTTTTTCAATAATAAAAATACGAAACGCATTGATTTTAGATATCAGTACGATCTTTTATTTCAATTATCTTCTATTCGCGCCTCCGTTGCTCACCCTCTCGCGGCGGAAAAGGGAAGCGCTCTAGTGAGGGTTTCCCGGTTCTCTTGCCCAGCGGGCACGGTGCAGCTGGTCGCGATCATGGCTCGTAAGAACAGTCGTTTCTGAATGCACTGTTCACTGGCCTGATGGACTGCTGCATCCGGCATGGGTCTCTACCTCAGTATTGGAGAAGCAAACGCAAGTGCTCGTGCTGCACGCTGCACAGGCGCTTCATTGCCATGCGCCAATCCAAGACCGCAATTTCGGGCTCCGCGCACGCGCAATGTGGAACACAGCGCTAACGCAAACACACAGTGCTTGCGTTCGCTCGTATACGTAATGCTGAAACATACTGGTTAACCGGTTTTCCAACGCCAACGAAAGGTACTGCAGTGAGCAGATGTGCAAGCTGGTGGGCGCCCCTTCGAGCGGGAAATGCTGAGTTTAGCAAAACAGCGGTGCGTAAAAATTCAAAGAAAAGAGAAGTTTTGGGTAGTTTTGTAATGAAAACAACAAAAACGGAATCAGTTTTTTTCTATTTCGTGGCATTTATTCCGGATGGATTGGCGGCGAGTTTGGAAGTTTTTCTTATTGCCAAAAGCCGCGACTTTGACATTACCATATGCTTTACGCACAATTAATGTAATTTTACGGGAATATCTCAGACTAGCTAGAATGTTTAACTATTTTTATTTTACAACTTGTTAACTAGGAATGCTGCAATTCGCACCAGTGATGATAATTTTCCAACTTTGGATTGCCAGCGTTGTTCGAGCGTTTGAAATTGGATCATAAGCAACCTTACAGCTTGAAAACTAAGTATTAAAATATCTTAACGGTATTCTTATTAATACGAATTGCCATAATTTAGGCCCAGAAAAAAAAACGCAGTCACAAAAACACGCCATTCAACTGTAGTAGTCTTACAGAATGGTATCATTTTAATTTGTTTTTAGCGCATGAAAAACTGACATCGTTATCGAGATCGACATACATCCTTAATGTAAAAACGCGCACACTTCTGTTGTCGGACTCGGATTTTGTTTTGGCGTTTTTGT